TTGAAGGGTTTTTTGGGTCTCTATCTCCTTCAGTTCTGCTCTGATCTTAGTTATTTCTTGTCTTCTGCTAGGTTTTGAGTTTTTTTGATCTTGCTCCTCTAGGTCTTTCAATTTGGATGATAGGCTGTCAATTTTAGATCTCTCCTTGCTTCTCATGTGGGCACTTATTGCTATATATTTTCCTCTAGAGACTGCTTTAAACGTGTCCCAGAGGTTCTGGTATGTTGTGTCTTTGTTCTCATTGGTTTCAAAGAACATCTTTATTTCTGCCTTCATTTCATTGTTTATCCAGTCAGCATTCAAGAGCAAGTTGTTCAGTTTCCATGAAGCTGTGTGGTTCTGAGTTAGTTTCTGCATTCTGAATTCTAACTCAATTGCACTGTAGTCTGAGAGACTGTTTGTTATGATTTCTGTTCTTTTGCATTTGCTGAGGAGTGATTTATTTCCAATTATGTGGTCAGTTTTAGAGTAGGTGTGATGTGGTGCTGAGAAGAATGTATATTCTGTGGCTTTGGGGTGGAGAGTTCTGTAAATGTCTATTAGGTGTGCTTGGTCCAGGTCTGAGTTCAGGTCCTGGATATCCTTGTTAATTTTCTGTCTGGTTGATCCGTCTAATGTTGACAATGGGGTGTTAAAGTCTCCCACTATTAATGTGTGGGAGTCTAAGTCTCTTTGTAAGTCATTAAGAACTTGCCTTATGTATCTGGGTGTTCCTGTATTGGGTACGTATATATTTAGGATCGTTAGCTCTTCTTGTTGCATTGATCCTTTTACCATTATGTAATGTCCTTCTTTGTCTCTTTTGATCTTTGTTGCTTTAAAGTCTATTTTATCAGAGACTAGGATTGCAACTCCTGCTTTTTTTTGCTCTCCATTTACTTGATAAATCTTCCTCCATCCCTTTATTTTAAGCCTTTGTGTATCCTTGCATGTGAGATGGGTTTCCTGGATACAGCACACTGATGGGTTTTGTCTTTTTATCCAATTTGCCAGTCTGTGTCTTTTGATTGGGGCATTTAGTCCATTTACATTTAGGGATAATATTGTTATGTGTGAATTTGATACTGCCATTTTGATGCTAGCTGGCTGTTTTGTTCGTTAATTGATGCAGATTCTTGATTGTGTTGATGCTCTTTACCATTTGGTATGTTTTTGGAGTGGCTGATACTGGTTGTTCCTTTATATGTGTAGAGCCTCTTTCAGGAGCTCTTGTAAAGCAGGTCTGGTGGTGATGAAATCCCTGAGTACTTGCTTGTTCGCAATGGATTTTATTTTTCCTTCACTTATGAAGCTTAGTTTGGCTGGATAGGAGATTCTGGGTTGAAAGTTCTTTTCTTTAAGGATGTTGAATATTGGCCCCCACTCTCTTCTGGCTTGTAGGGTTTCTGCCGAGAGATCTGCTGTGAGTCTGATGGGCTTCCCTTTGTGGGTAACCCGACCTTTCTCTCTGGCTGCCCTTAGTATTTTCTCCTTCATTTAAACCCTGGTGAATCTGACGATTATGTTTCTTGGGGTTGCTCTTCTTGAGGAGTATCTTTGTGGTGTTCTCTGTATTTCCTGGACTTGAATATTGGCCTGCCTTCCTAGGTTGGGGAAGTTTTCCTGGATAATATCCTGAAGAGTATTTTCCAGCTTGGATTAATTCCCTTCGTCACATTCAGGTATACCTATCAGACGTAGATTAGGTCTTTTCACATAGTCCCACATTTCTTGGAGACTTTGTTCATTCCTTTTTACCCTTTTTTCTCTATTCTTGCCTTCTCGTTTTATTTCATTGAGTTAATCTTCGACCTCTGATATCCTTTCTTCTGCTTGGTCAATTCAGCTGTTGAAACTTGTGCATGCTTCGTGAAGTTCTCATGTTGTGTTTTTCAGCTCCGTCAATTCACTTATATTCCTCTCTATGTTGTCCCTTCTCGTTAGCATTTCATCAAATCTTTTTTCAAGGTTCTTAGTTTCTTTACATTGGGTTAGAACATGTTCTTTTAGCTCACTGTAGTTTCTTATTATCCACCTTCTGAAGTCTGATTCTGTCATTTCATCACAATCATTCTCCATCCAGCTTTGTTCCCTTGCTGGTGAGGAGTTGTGATCCCTTTTAGGAGGAGAGGTGTTCTGGTTTCGGGTGTTTTCATCCTTTTTGCGCTGGTTTCTTCCCATCTTTGTGGGTTTTATCCACCTGTTGTCTTTGTAGTTACTGACTTTCAGATTGGGTCTCTGAGTGAACTTCCAGTTTGTGGATGCTGAAGTTACTTCTTTTTCTTAGCTTTCCTTCTAACAGTCTGGCCCCTCTGTTGTAGGACTGCTGAGGTCCACTCCAGGCCCTGTTTGCCGGGGGATCACCTGCAGCAACAGTAAGGGTTGCTACCAGTTTCCTCTTCTGCTATCTTTGTCCCAGAAGGATGCCCGCCAAATGTCAGTCTGTTCTCTCCTTTATGAGGTGACTCTTTGGATATACGGGGGTCAGGGAGCTGCTTGAGGAGACAGTCTGTCCTTTATTGGAGCTCAAGTCCTGAGCTGTGAGCTCCGTTGTTCATTCAGAGTTGCTGGGCAGGTATGTTTAGGTCTGCTGCAGCAGAACTCATAAACTTCCCCCCCCTTTTTTTTTTCCCAGGTGCTCTGTCCCAGGGAGTTAGGGCTTTATGAGTTTCCATTGTGCTGCTGCTGCCGTTTTTTTTTTTTTTTTTTTTTTTCTTTTAGGGGGGCCCTGCCCAGCGAGGAGACAGCCCAGTCACTGTCTGCCTGCAGAGGCTTTGCTGAGCTGCTGTGGGCTCTGCCCAGCTGCCGTGTGATCTTCCCTGCTGTCCTGTTTATATGGGTATAGTTAGAACTGCCTTGGCAGTGGTGGCCTGCCTCTGTTATGGTGGACTGTCTCTGTAGTGGCAGGTTGCCTCGGCAATGACGGGTTCCCTCAGCAACGGCGGGCTGCCTCAGCATTGGTCAGACTGCCTCCATAGTGGTGGAGTGTCTTAGTAATGGTGGACGCCCCTCCCCCTCAGAGCCGGACCATCCCAGGTTCAGATGTGCTTGCTGTGAAACTCTCAACCCAGAGCGTTTTCAATTACTGGTTTTTTTTGTGTTTGTGTGTGTGTGTGTGTGTGTGTGTGTGTGTGTGTGTGTGTGGTTGGGGGGAGGAGGGACCTGCTGAGCCTGATCACCTGGCTCCCTGACTCAGAGTCTTTTTTTGTTGTTGTTGTTGAACGGTCGACTGTCTTCCTGTTGAAAAGGCACCGGGATCTCCCTTGCCGCGACACACTAAGCCGGCTGAAACCGTGGCGCTGAGATTCCTGGCAGTTTTTTTGCCTAGGAGTCTCCTGGCATGGCTCACTATTTCAAATGAATGGGCGACTCTGCCGCCTCAGGGCTCCAATCGCCAGCTAAGAGGGCACCTGGACCAGTGTCTTTTGTACGGAGAACCGCCGTGCCAGGGCGCGGGCAAAGCAGCTGCATGGGCCGAAATGGCCCCGCCGGCCAAAACAGTGCTGGCGACCCATGGGGCTCCTCCGCCTGGGAATCTCCTGGTCTGTGGGCAATAAATATCCATCTGGAAGTGCGGCGTCCACTCACCCTCTGCACTTTCACTGGGAGCTATAATCCTGAACTGTTCCTAGTCGGCCATCTTCCCCAGGATCTCAGGCAGAAATTTTTAAACTTACTGTAGACAAGACCTAGAAGGGTAAAGAGTTTGTCTGGATCTTCATCCAAATTTCTTTGACCACATGTTCCATACCGTATTTCTTTATAAATGGGAATCAGATAGATATGGTCTTAATCCATTTCCCCTACGTCCTTGAGATCTGCTATTTCTTGTCCCATTTGTTTCTTGACTCCAACACTTGGCTTGAATCCTATTGCTTACGTTAATACACTGTAGACTGTGTGACTGCAGGCAAGTTACTTAAACTCTGTGCCTCGGTTTACTCATCAATAAGATGGAGATAATAGTGGTATCTAAGCTCACAAGGTTGGTGTAAAATATAAAGGAAATAATGTTATCTTGGGTACCAGGATTAGCAATGTATATCTGAGAACCAGGCTCTTTGTCTTATATATAATTAGGAGATGTGAAATAATATCTGAAAACAGAATTTTGTAAGTATAATGTGTGTTTTAAATAGCTTATTCTTGTAACAGCTTATTTTTATTTTCAATTTTTGGCTGGCCATTTACTCTTCCTACATATTTGGCTTACCAATAGATAAAAATAACAGAAATGAACATATTATTCTATCCAACTTGTATAGCTATCTTTAAGGCTACTGACACAATAGTTTATCCAGGGCATACTTACTGTATTTTCCTCTGTGTCTGGCTTGCAAATATTATGTCTTTCTCGCTTCTAGTAAGTTTACATTCATTTGTGGTAAGTTTTTCCACAGTGAAATTTTAAAAATTGTGATATAACCTGGTCTAGAAACAAGAATTTCATACATTCCATGAATTTTTCTATACAAAATTTAGGTTGATTGATATGGAGGGTAGACAATTGATCCCCCTTAATGGTTCTCAAAGCAAGGTCTCCAAACTAGCCACATCAACATAACCTTGTTAGAATGTCAATCATCTTGTCAAAATGTAAATCATCTTGTTAGAAATCACTTTGTCAGACATGTAAATGCAAATTCTCGAGTCCCAGCCTGACCTATTAAGTCAGAAACTATGGGGGGTAGGACTTGCAATCTGTATTTTAATAAGCCCTTCAGTGGATTCTGACACACATTAAAGGTTGAGAACCATTGTTCTAGCTCTCCCAAGGCAATTAAAAAAATTGTAGAGCTAGAAATAACTGTCTTAAAGTAAAACTTAAAATGTGTATTTTTCTAGTTTTCTGTTTAAATTATATCCATTATCAAAATATTTATTGGCTACCAATTTTTGAGTTTTCTATTGAAGTAAGACCTACTACAGAAATTATGAAATAATGCTAAACACTGCATTAATCAGACTATTTATAAGAAAATTTTTCTGTTAATATTTTGGTGACATTTTATCTTTTGTAGGTTCATCCACATAAAACTTACTTCACAGTAGCTGAAAAAGGGAGTTTTCCAAATATTATCATCTATGAATTTCCTTCTCTGAGACCCTACAGAATCCTTCGAGGTAAGTCCAGAAGCATATTTAAAATATTTCATGTTCAAGAATAACAACATTCTGAAGAAGGTGTGACAGTATTTGATAAGTCAGCGTTCTCCGGAGAAACAGAACTAGTGGAAGACAGAAAAGAGATTTATTCAAATTCACATATAACAATATTAACTTTAAATGTAAGTGCCCCAATTAAAAGACACAGACTGGGCAGATGTGGTGGCTCACACCTGAACTTGGGGAGGCTGAGGTTGGCGGATCACCTGAGGTCAGGAGTTTAAGACCGGCCTGACCAACAAAGAGAAACCCCATCTCTACTAAAAATGCAAAATTAGCCAGGCATGGTGGCACATGCCTGTAATCCCAGCTACTTGGGAGGCCAAGGCAGGTGAATCACCTGAACCCAGGAGTTGGAGGTTGGGGTGAGCTGAGATCATGCCATTGTACCCCAGCCTGGGCAACAAGAGCAAAACTCCATCTCAAAAAGAAACAAAAACAAACAAAAAAGACACAGACTGGTGAATTGGATAAGAAGTCAAGGCCCATAGTTGTGTGCTGTTACTCAAGAGACCCATCTTACTTGTAAAGACACACACGGGCTCAAACCAGAGGGATGGAGGAAAATTTACCAAGTGAATGGAAAGAAAAAAGAAAAAAAATCAGGGGTTGCAATCCTAGTCTCTAACAAAACAGACTTTAACACAGATCAAAAAAGACAAAGAAAGGCATTATATAATGGTAATGGGAACAATTCAAGAAGAGCTAATTATTCTGAATATATATGCACCCAATACAGGAGCACCCAGATTCATAAATTCTTAGAGACCTACAAAGAGACGTAGATTCTCACACAATTAATAGTGGGAGACTTTATAATACCCCACTGTCAGTATTAGACACATCAACAACACAAAAAATTAACAAAGATATGCAGGATTTGAACTCAGTTCTGGATCAAGTGGACCTAGCAGTTGTCTACATAACTGTGTACTCCAGATCAACAGAATACACATTCCTCTCAGTGCTATATGACACTTATTCTAAAATTGACCACTTAATTGGAAGTAAAACACTCCTCAGCAAATGCAAATGCAAATCATAACAAACAGAACTGAAATCATAATAAACAGTCTCTCAGCCCACAGTGCAATCAAATTAGAACTCAGGATTAAGAAACTCACTCAAAACCACACAATTTCATGGAAATTGAAAAACCTGCTCCTAAATGCCTTCTGTGTAAATAATGAAATTAAGGCAGAAATCAAGAAGTTCTTGGAAACCAATGAGAACAAAGAGACGATGTACCAGAATCTCTGGGACACAGCTAAAACAGTGTTAAGAGGGAAATTTATAGCACTAAATGCCCACAAGAGAAAGCAGGAAAGATCTCAAATCAACACCCTAACATCACAATTAAAAGAACTACAGAGGCAAGAGCAAACTAATCCAAAAGCTAGCAGAAGACAAGAAATAATTAAGATCAGAGAAGAACTAAAGGAGATATAGACAGAAAAACCCTCCAAAAAAAAAAAAAAAAAAACAAGAAGCTTTTTTTTTTAAATTAACAACATAGACCACTAGCTAGACTAAGGAAAAGAGAAAAGAATCAAATAGACACAAGAAAAAATGATAAAGAGAATATCACCACTGACCCCACAGAAATACAAACTACCATTAGAAAAAACTATAAATACCTCTACACAAACAAGCTAGAAAATCTAGAAGAAATGGATAAATTCCTGAATGCATACACCCTACCAAGACTAAACCAGAAAGAAATTGAATCCCTGAATAGACCAATAATGAGCTCTGAAATTGAGGCAGTAATTAATAGCCTACCAACCAAAAATAGTCTAGGACCAGAGGGATTCAAAGCTGAATTCTAACAGGTACAAAAAGGAGCTAGTACCATTCCTTCTGAAACTATTTCAGACATTTGAAAAACAGGGAGTCCTTCCTAACTCATTTTATGAAGCCAGCATCATCCTGATACCAAAACCGGGAAGAGACACAACAAAAAAAGTAAACCTCAGGCCAATATCTCTGTTGAACATCGCTGCAAAAATCCTCAATAAAATACTGGCAAACCGAATCCAGCAGCACATCAAAAAACTTACTCACCACAATCAAGTCATCTTCATCTCTGGGATGCAAGGCTGGTTCAATATATGCAAATCAGGTAAACATAATCCATCACATAAACAGAACCAAGACATAAACCACATGATTATCTCAATAGATGCAGAAAAGGCCTTTGATAAAATTCAACATCCCTTCATGTCAAAAACTCTCAATAAACCATGTATTAATGGAAACTATCTTAACATAATAAATGCTATTTATGACAAACCCACAGCCAGTATCATAGTGAATAGGCAAAAGCTGGAAGCATTCTGTTTGAAAACCAGTATAAGACAAGGATGCCCTCTCTCACCACTCTTATTCAACATATTATTGGAAGTTCTGGCCAGGGCAATTAGGCAAGGGAAAGAAATAAAATGTATTCAAATAGGAAAAGGGGAAGTCAAGTTGTCTCTGTTTGCAGATGACATGATTTTATATTTAGAAAACCCCATCGTCTCAGCCCCAAAACTTCTTGAACTGATAAGCAACTTCAGCAAAGTCTCAGGATACAAAATCAGTGTGCAAAATCATAAGCATTCCTATACACCAATAGTGGGCAAGCAAAGAGCCAAATCATGAATGAACTTCTATTCACAATCACTACAAAGAGAATAAAATACCTAGGAATACAACTAACAAGGGATGTGAAGGACCTTTTAAAGGAGAACCACAAACCACTGCTCAAGGAAGTAAGAGACAACACAAACAAATGGAAAAACATTCCATGTTCACGGATAGAAAGAATGAATATCATGAAAATGGTCATACTACCAAAGTAATTTATAGATTCAATGCTATTCCTATCAAACTACCATTGGCATTCTTTACAGAATTAGAAAAAGCTATCTTAAGTTTCATGTGGAATCAAAGAAGACCCCATATAGTCAAGACAGTCCTAAGCAAAAAGAGCAAAGCTGGAAACATCACACTACATGACTTCAAACTATATTACAAGGCTACAGTAACCAAAACAGCATTGTACTGGTACCAAAACAGACATAGACCAATGGAGCAGAACAGAGACCTCAGAACACCACACATCTACAATCATCTGATGCTCAACAAACCTTACAAAAACAAGCAATGGGGAAAGGATTTTCTATTCAGTAAATGGTGCTGGGAAAACTGCCTAGTTACATGCAGAAAACTGAAACTGGACCCTTTCCTTACAACTTATACAAAAATTAACTGAAGGTGGATTAAAGACTTAAGTGTAAAACCCAAAACCATAAAAACCCTACAAGAAAACCTAGGCAATACCATTCGAGACATAGGCATGGGCAAAAACTTCATGGCAATAAAGCCAAAAGCAATGGCAACAAAAGCCAAAATTGACAAATGGGATCTAATTAAACTATAGAGCTTCTGCACAGCAAAAGAAACTATCATCAGAGTGAACAGGCAATCTACAGAGTGGGAGAAAATTTTTGCAATCTACCTGTCTGACAAAGGTCTAATATCCAGAATTTACAAGGAACTTAAACATATTTACGAGAAAAAAACAACTCCATCAAAAAGTGGGCAAAGGATATGAACAGATACTTCTCGAAAGAAGACAGTTATGTAGCCAAGAAGCATATGAAAAAAAGCTCAACATCACTGATTATCGGAAAAATGCAAGTCAAAACTACAATGAGATACCATTTCATGCGAGTTAGAATGGTGATCATTAAAAAGTCTGGAAACAATAGATGCTGGTGAGGCTGTGGAAAAATAGGAACACTTTTACACTGTTGGTGGGAATGTAAATGAATTCAACCATTGTTGAAGACAGTGTGGTGATTCCTCAAGGGCTCTAGAACCAGAAATACCATTTGACCCAGCAATCCTATTACTGGGTATATACCCAAAGGAATATAAATCATTGTACTATAAAGATACCTGTACACATATGTGCATTGCAGCAGTATTTACAATAGCAAAGACATGGAACCAACCCAAATGCCCATCAATGATAGAGTAGATAAACAAAACATGGTACATATACACCATGGAATACTATGCAGCCATAAAAAGTAAAGAGATTATGTCCTTTGCAGGGACATGGATGAAGCTGGAAGCCATCATCCTCAGCAAACTAACACAGTAATAGAAAACCAAACACCGCATGTTCTCACTCATAAGTGGGAGTTGAACAGTGACAACACATGGACACAGAGAGGGGAGCAACACACACCAGGGCCTGTTAGTGGGTGAAGCGTGAGGGAGGGGAACTTAGAAGATGGGTCAATAGGTGAAGCAAACCACCATGGCACACATATGCCTATGTAACAAATGTGCATCTTCTACACATGTATCCCCCCTTTTTTTAAAGAATAAATAAAGATTTAATGGAATTGTTATAGGAAAGGGGTCCTGATCGAGACCCCAAGAGAAGGTTGTTAGACCTCACACAAGAAAGAATTTGAGGTGAATCCATAGAGCAAAATGAAAACAAGTTTAAGAAAGTAAAGGAATAAAAGAATGGTTACTCCATAGGCTGAGGAGAGGCTTGGGTTACTCAGCTAAGAATACTTATAGTTATTTTCGATTATATGCTAAACGGGGTGGATTATTCATGAGGTTTCCAGACAGGAAATGGATGGGCAACTCCTGGAACTGAAGGTTCTTCCCTTTTTTGGCCAGATGAGGTAATTTCCTGACATTGCCATGGTATTTATACTGTCATGGCACTGGTGGGACTGTCCTATAGCATACTAATGCATTATAATTAGCATATAATGAGTAGTGAGGATGACTGGAGGTTGTTTTCATCACCTTCTTGATTCTGGTGGCTTTCGGCCAACTGCTTTACCACATCCTATTTTATCCATGGGGTCTTTTGACCTGTATCTTGTGCCACCTATCTCATCTTGTGAGTTAGAATGCCCAACCTCCTGGGAATGCAGCCCCGTAGATCTCAGCCTCATTTTACCCAGCTTCTACCCCAGATGGAGTCACTCTGGTCCTAATGCTTCTGACACTGCTATCTAATATGTGTTTGTGTTTCTCCCTATGTCATAAAATGGAGTACTCATGCAATATGTGATTAAAACTCTTTTACCCTCCCCCTTCATATCACGTAATTCATTCTAAAGCCAAAGATGGTGAATGTTTTTGGAATTGTTCCTTTGGGGTATTCTTGGCATTCTCATATCACCATGAGCTGACTCCCTCTCTATTTTTGTTACAATATGCTTTTGACGTGATTAAATGTGTCTTTATTTATTAGACTCCCATTTATCCTTCCAGATGGGACTGAGAAGGGATATGCTTATGTGGACTTTAACTACAGTGGTACCTTGCTGGCCTCTGTTGGTAGCAACCCAGACTACACACTGACTATCTGGAATTGGAAAGAAGAACAACCCATACTGAGGACAAAGGCTTTTTCTCAGGAAGTTTTTAAGGTTACTTTCAATCCTGATAATGAAGAGCAGCTTACTACATCGGGATCAGGCCACATCAAGTAGGTTGGGTAACCAATAGAGGTGCTAGTAGATATCACAGGGGTATTTTTCTAAGAATCTCTAAGAGCTAGAGACTTTTTTTTTTTTTTTTGCAGTTTTAGTTAACATTAGAATTATTTAAAAATACGTTATTTTAAAAGCTAATTAGTAATGCATCTTTTCTAATTAGATATGTGGGATTTTATTTCTGCAAGGAGCATAGATAAAATGAGGACTTTTTTTTTTTTTTTTTTTTGAGATGGAGTTTCGCTCTTGTTACCAGGCTGGAGTGCAATGGTGTGATCTCGGCTCACCACACCTCCGCCTCCTGGGTTCAGGCGATTCTCCTGCCTCACCCTCCTGAGTAGCTGGGACTGCAGGCGCCCACCACTATGCCCAGCTAATTTTGTGTTTTTAGTAGAGACGGGGTTTCTGCATGTTGGTCAGGCTGGTCTTGAACTCCCAACCTCAGGTGATCTGCCCGCCTCAGCCTCTCAAAGTGCTGAGATTACAGGCGTGAGCCACGGTGCCTGGCCAATAAGGGCTTTTAAATACAGCCTGCTGCCTTCTTGTAGCCTCCACCTCCTAAAAGAGTTTGTGTAGTGTCTTAAAAACTAACATTGGGATGATATTTCCAAATTCATATTGTTTTCACATCCACTACTAAATTTCTTGTTTGTAGCAATTTAGTCTTCATCTGTAAAACAAGAATTATCACAGTATCGTTCCTGACAAGAAACACTCAATACAAAACAGAGCCTACTCTTGATCTTAGGTCTTGCTCCAAACTCCACGCTCTTTTAATTATATCATAACCTCATCTATTTCCAGGATGGAATGATCTTGTCTTTCTCTATCTTTGTTCCACTTTGTCTCATGCCTTTATGTAACAACCTTCTACCACCCCCATCTGCCCATAACTTGACTATCAGTGTCTCTTTAAGAGAAAGACATTTTTATCCATCCTGAATTCCTCTTTTCTCAATTTAGATCTGGTCTTTTTATTATTCATTCATTAGAAATATAGGCTAATTGAGCAGATTTTTAATTGTAATCATTAGGGAATTCTCAAATAACCCTCTGCTAGCTATTTGCAAAAGTTTTCCAATTTCTTATATTTTTCTATTACTTAGTAAAATCTGTCTTTTCTATGCCCCATATCTTTGGGAGAAAGGCAGACATTGAACAGTTAATTTCATGTGTGCTATAAAGGAACCCAGAGTATATAGAAGGGTATCATCAGGGGACCTACCATTCCTTTGGAGATGATGTAGGCTATATAGGCTTTTGGCTTTGTATCACTGGCTTGTTGGTACCCTCAATTATCTGTTTTACATCTAGTTGGATAGGTCTTCTTTTTCTACATGGTCTTCATCATCCTGTCTGTTCATGTGTTTAGACTATGAATAAGAAAATGTTAGTCATAAGAATTATTGATTGCTTTGATCTGCTAGGCACTGTTCTAAGAATTTTTCAACAATTTAATGAGGTAGATGTTACTAATTTCCTTATTTTATACCTGGGAAAATGAAGATATAGGGTGATCAAGAAAAGCATTCAGAGTCACACAGCTAATACATTAGAATTCTTTGAAAAACTTTTTTCTCTAAAACAATACTGTCTAATACAACTTTCTGACAGACTGGGAATGTTCTATGCTGTCTAATACAGTAGCTGCCATCCACATGTAGTTACTTGAAATCGGCTAGTGTGACAGCAACACTGAAATTTTGATTTTGTTTAATGTTAATTATTTTAAATAGTCAAACACAGCTGCAGGCTACTGCATTAGGTAGCATAGCTCTAAAATATAAGATACATGAAGGAGGAAATTTTATTTTTCACCTGTTTTGATCATTGCTGAATTCATATTGCCTAGAACCTTGCCTGACAAGTAGTAGATACTACACAAATCTTAATCGGATGAATGAGTGAAATAATATATGTGACTATAAAATATGTAAATGTTTGGGTCATATTAAAATAAAAATCAGTAAACTATCTTTGAGGTACATTCAGTCTCTCGTTTGTTTGTAGGTTCTGGGAAATGGCTTTTACATTCACAGGTCTCAAGCTGCAGGGATCACTAGGTCGATTTGGCAAAACAACGTCTACTGATATAGAAGGCTACATGGAGCTCCCAGATGGGAAGGTGAGTATAGCCACTATTCTACAATAATAAAACTTTGTTTTCAAGTACATATATGAAAGCATACATACATGAAAATATATTACATTCTAACAAGCTCTGCCAATAACAGATATTATCATTGTAAATGTAATGAACATTTCTTTTTACTTCTTCAATTATCAGTTGTAATTAAAATATTTCCCTGAAATTGTCCTATGTTTAACTACTATTTTTCTATTTTCTTTTTACTGAATCTTATACACACATATAAAGTATGTGAGGATTTTCATATATTAACATAGTTACATATTTGTTACTTGTAATTATGTCACAGAGTTGCAGTACTTATATAAGTATTTATATTACTTATTTTTCCCCATTTTGTCTTGCTATCACGATTGAAGAAGACTTACTGGGTCAAAGGTTATATGCAACTTTGTGGCAGTTATTTTTATTGTTAAATTATTATTCAGGAAGAGCAAACCACTTTATAGAGGCATCTGGAACACTGCAACTGTAATCTGTTAGTTTATTCTTTAATATTGTTAGTTTCTTTCCTTTCTTCCTATTATAAAATTTATAGGCATATTGCCTGAAACAATAGTTAATTAGGATTAGTTCTCCATCAATATTTTACATAGTGACCTTTTAGAATGAGTTATACATTATTATTTGAGATCATCTCAGTTGTAAGTAAATGGCAGCATACAAATGTTACTCTAGGGAACCAAGTGGTCTAGTCACCTACCTGACTAAATATTCTCAATTCAAAAGCATGATATATAGGAGGAAATAAAAAGCCTTGGATGCTGGCTAAACTATGTATCTAAATCCATGAGACGATCTTAAATCATTCCAGCTTCAAATTCTGAATACTGTAAAAATTAAGCTAAGATAAAGATCCATAGAATCCTTGTTAAAAACATGGTATGAGATATATCTTTTAAAGGGTTGGTAGAATTTGTATAGCTATAGGGAAGAAAGAAACCATTTTAAATGATAGACCAACTAAAGGAAGTGTTTAGCGTTAGAAATAAGGATCAGATTTTTAGAGGGCAGATTGGAATAAACCATTTATGTTGGCAAAGAGTGGAAAATTTCAGTTGAGAAGTATGACTGGGCCCTAGTGTACAAGGAGTTTAATATTTAGGCAGAACTACTCTACATGGGAAGAGTAGACTTGCAAATGAAAGAAGTAATAAACAAATTTGGCCACAGAATGCCAGGTTGATGTGACGAAGGGAAATCTGGAGTCAAGGAAATGGGCTAGAATGGAAGCCGTTGCTGTCATCTAAAAAGAGGTGATCAAGGGCCTAGACTTCTCAGAACAAATGGAAAAGGAAAGCTAGATATGAGTGACATTTCAGAAAGTCACCTTTGCTGGCTTTCATCACTGGACAGAAGAAAATAAGTCTAAAAGCTCTGTCATAAATGGCTGAGGCTTAAGAACAATCAGTAAAGTTGGTAGGGTTGATAAAAAATAGGTAGACCCAAGGGATAAAAGACTGAATAAAATCATGTTTCTCTAGAAAGAGAGAAATGAAATTTCTCTAGAGAGGGAAATGAAAATGCAGACTTCTAGAGCATGCAGGTGAAATTAGAGTTTCCCAAAGTGCATTTTCATGGAACATCAGTCTGTACAGAAGCTCTGTAAAAATAAGACTTTTTTTTTTCTTTTTTTCCTTTGTTGACTCCATCTTGCTTCTAAAAAAAAAAAAAATAAGACTTTTTAAGTCAAATTCCTTTGTACTGAAAAATTCCCCTTGGTAATTCCCAGCAAATAGTTCTTGTTAAGAGTTCCCAGTGATCCCAGAGAAAATAAAGTTGTTTGATTTTGTTTATCCTAGTGTCTGCATTCTAAGGCTGTGTAGTCAGAATGGAAAGCTTTGAGCCCCCTTGCCTGGATTAGAATGCTCACTGGGTAGTTTTGGGCAAGTTTGTGCTTCAGTGTTCTCCTCTGTAAAATGGGGATAATAATAGTCAGGGCTACCATTGGCCCATTTGTTTTTTTTGTGTGTGAGTCAGAAAAAAGCTGTTTCTTCTAGGAGAATGAAGTACCCAACATGCACAACTGTACATGGTATCCCTGATAAATGTACCTAGTTCATGTTTTTTTTGCATTAAATAACATATTTGAAGTACTGAACCAGTGCCTGACACAGAGTCAGTGCTCAATAAATATTACTTCATTTTGAGACACTTGTTAAACATCTTAAGAACTAATGTTTGGTGGTATGCACTTGGGGAAATGCCAAATTAAATGGATGAATTTGAGAAGGTTTTAGATGATTATCCTTGTTTGAAGTTGGATACTATTATCCCATAATCTACCTAATTCAGGACTGGCCTTACAAGTTATCTAATATCTAAAATTTGATAGTGTTACACTTAAAAAGTAGACTGTCATCTAATTCCACTCCTGTATTTTGTCCTAAGAGACGTACCAAGAAGTCTATTGTATACATCAATGAACAGTTACCAACAACATTCAGCCTAATCACAAAGATGCAAAACTGATCATAATGCTAGAAGGAAATACATCAAAATGTTATTAGTAGTTGTGTCTGGGGTAGTAGGTCTTTCTGTATTTTTTTTTATTTTTCCATTTTAAAATTTTATAATCAATAAAGATAACCTTAAAAATAATTTTCACCTACTATTTGAGGCATGAATATGTACACTTAGCTGTTTTAATGCACATTCCTTTTTTCCACATACCTCCCAGGTGCTCTCAGGGTCAGAATGGGGTAACATGCTGCTTTGGGAAAGCGGTCTGATCAAAGTGGAGCTCTGTCGAGGTACAAGCAAGTCATGTCACAATGGTCCCATTAACCAGATAATGCTGTATGAGGGTGAAGTTATCACTGTTGGGTCAGATGGATGTGTTAGGGTAAGTTTTCTTGATACTTGGATGGTAGCACACATGTTTAAGGCTTGTAGGTCACCCAAAGGGTTTTATTTCTCATAAAGGTTATTTTGTGAAGAAGATCAGTAGTCATTTATTCCCAAGGCCAACTCACTTTAAATAATGCTTCTCTTGTGGTAAATATTTGTATTCTCATCAAAATTAATTTACTGCACTTTACCACTGAGGGTAAAATGCAGTAAATTAGGAAGGCCTCTTATTATTTGGATTCTGTTGAAATAATAGCTTCGGAAGATGAAAACTCATGTTAGAACAGGATAAACAGTAGACCCTCATGTCCTTCCAGAAGGCTTCATATGAATGGGCCATGTTCTAGGAACAAAGGTGCTGAACATTTGTTAGTTATTTTTTACTGAAGTTACCAATTGGAAATACACCCAGACGTGAACTGATGGAGTTTGCCTATGAATGCTACACTCTTCTTGCTCCGTATGCTAAGCAACTCACTTGCTTCCTCTTGTGGACAGTCTCTTGCCCAAAGCCTGGGCTAAGCTGGAACACTGGTCCAGCTTCTAAGTCCCCCTTGCTGTTGTGACACGTCTCCCACCCACTATGTGTAGCACTGTCTGTTAATGAGTATCCCGCTGTGGCTGGTCAACCTGTAGCTTTGTGATTTGCCTTGTAGTCCTCTTGGTAGATATTTTCAATGGGGCCTTCCATAAGAAAGTGGAAGTGTTCTATTGACATTTGTTTCAGAAGTGTTATCAAAAGCTAGATTGTATTTTTTTGAGTCTGGTCACTCTGTTGCCAGCGATTGAGCTTACTGTGTTTAATATATTGTTTCATCCAAATCTCCGACAGTGGGTCCTCTTACCACTGGCTTTTTGAGCCCCTGTGTAGGTTTTAACATTTACAATATTACGTTTAATCTTGTTGGATTTCACACATTGCTCCGGGGAGCTTTATGTCCTTTATTTTGTCATATATTTGCTGTCTTTCCAAGATATACGTTACCCCAAAATGTCTAAATACCAAGTGGGAGAAAATCTCAGGAGAAAAGAAGTTAAATATTTTGCAGAGGATTTCTTCATGGACACCAGTAATTCCTAAGCTTGCCTCTCTTTTCAGAGCCTGCCCTTGTCTTTTCAGTCCTTCACACTGTAAATCTCTACCTCTTACCCCTTAGAAAAAACCTACCCCAACTCCCAGAAGTTAGTCTGATCCTAGTCTGATCCCTAACCCTACTAACCCTGACCCTTAGATATTTCCCTCTTCTCCTAACTAGGCTAATCTATGAGACAGTCCCCTGGAGTTCTTTCTCAAAGCCTCAGTTATGCAGTCTAGGATCATATGGCAGAGTATGTCACCAGAGCTGTCCAGAATGAGCTTTGGCCCCTCGCAGGGGAAGTCCTTCTGGGTCTCCCTGCCACCGTCAGGTGAAACTGTGCTCCCTCACTCTTCCTGTAGTATTCCTCTTCCAGTGAACTCCTCTCCCAAAGAACAACCACCTACACTTTACTGTCTCGCTGTGAGATAGTAACATTTTCTATCTCACTTATTATGAGATAGTAAAGGGTAAAATATTAATATTCAGGAAGAGAAACATTTTCTAATGGAGACTTTATCTACATCTATATTCTTTGCTTATAATGAGATAGTGCTTGAATCATTAAGCAAGAAGGTGTATTTCCCCTTTCCAGGGGCCTACTGGTGTTTAGAAAACAAGGCTCATTATAATGTCTTGCTGAATAGCTGAACCATGTACTCCTAATGGCCACTTTATGTAAAAAGAGACCTAATGGAAACCTTGAAATAAAATTTTTTTTTGACAAAATGAAATTCTTCTGCAAGGCTGTACTTTCTTACTAACTTTTTTAAATACAAAGGAACCTATAATAACTTATCATACCTCAGTTCAGAATGAAATTCCAGGGGTCAGGTTTTGGCTGGTGTTCTTATTATACCTATTCATTGTTACTTTTCATGAAAGAAAAAGAAATGACTTTTGAAAAAAAAAATTAGGGTTTTTCTGGCTTAGAAAATAAATGTTCAGAAACTAATGATTGATTAAAGTATTTTCATTTTACAAGATATGGGATTTTGAGACAATAGACACTGCTGATACAATAGATGAGACTGGATTGTTGGAGATTGAGCCTATTAATGAACTTCAAGTAGACAAGAACGTGAAACTCTTCTCTATGATAAAAATGAATGAAACTGGAAATAACTTTTGGTTGGCTCAGGTATGTTGCATTCTTCTCTCTTGGCTCTTTAACATTACATGGACAAAAAGTTAAAATAATGATATGATTGATTTGACTAAAAGTCCATTTGACTGTGTTATGAGATTGCTTATTGTGTGGTTGTATTCTAAAATATAGTAGTTTTTTTTTAAATTTTAATTATACTTTATATGTGAGCTTTTGATATTATTGCTTGTCCTTACTTAAATCATAGGAAGAACTTTTGATGAAAGTTTACAATGATAAAATACTATTGGGTATTTAATTTTTTTAGGATGCCAATGGAGCCATATGGAAGCTTGACCTTAGTTTTTCAAATATTGTAAGTTGCCTATTATTCTTATCTTCCCCTAACTTTTATAACAAAATACAAAAAAATTTTGTTGTTTGCCTTTAAAGTATTTGTTATCTTTCTCCATATTTGATCTTGGTTCTCATAAAAAACTTGCTCAACGTGCTACTCTTGAGAATTCTCTCATTATAATTTTACATAAAAAAGTATCTGTCTCATAGCATAATTTACCAGAAAAGTGGCAGTGACAATACTTAACATGACATATGCTTGATAGTTTTTATAAATATATGGAATTTTCATTTATTTTATCTCACGTGGTCCTCAACACTGCCCTATTTAGTAGGCTAGCAGCTGTTATCATCTCATTTACAGATGAAGAAATGGAAACTGGAATTTGGGGTGACTTGTGCAAAATCACACAGCCATTAAGGGCAAAGCCCAGGACTCTAGCTGGTTCTCCTGATTCTGAAGTCCAGTGTTCTTTCTAGCTTTTTGTGCTCTTTCTTATTTCTATCCAAATAAAATCACACGTGTTATATTGTTCTATTAACATTTTTTAAAACATGTTAACCCTGTCTTTGAGATCCAGTAAGCCATCTGTCTGTTCTCAGACCCAGGACCCGGAATGCCTCTTCTCCTTCCATTCTGGAGCTATTGAAGCCGTGGCTGTTTCTCCTCTCACTTACCTCATGGCCACAACTGCCTTGGACTGTAAGTAGAAACTCTTTATTAAAATATATCTGGCCTTGTTTTGTTTTATTTGCAATACAATTTTTATATGTGTTTGACTTAAGAGCATTTGAGAATTTTTCCCAAAATGGGAGCCTCTTGAATGCAAGTGAAGGGAGCTGTAGAGAGGAGAGGGCACAAAATGCAGCAGCCATGGTTATTGTGAGAGATTAAAATAAGGACACGATCTGTAAATTGTTCATGAAAATGCTGCTCATTTTGATATTGTCCACATTTGTAGTTTTTTTCTATTCTTTCCTTCTCCGTTCTTCCTTCTTATGGCAAATCTATATGGACTATGCAAGGTAAAATTGACCCACCAGTCAATCATCTGTTATCCCTTTTTATTATTCATGTTTATGAATTGCCTGTTTAAGGTTGTACATGAAAATTTTTTACAAAAGAAAGTTATTCACTGATTTAGTTAAGAAATTTCTTGTTATAATTTTCAATGTGTAAAAAGTGAACCAAGACTTTAAAAAATATATTATGTATATAATTTTTTTTTTCTTTTAAAACTGTCTTTCCATAGGCTCTGTTCGAATCTATGATTTTGCTAGCAAAATTCCTTTGGCTCAGATGAAATTCAAACAAGGAGGTACTGCCCTTGTTTGGGTACCCCGAATGGTAAGTTTTTGTTATAATGAACTATTAGAATCTGTTGGTAAATATGATATATCAATTCTTTATCTTGGAAATACAGATATTTGCCGACTCATAATTTTAGGGAATAATAAAAGTTTTAAGTTAGTTTGTTTTAGTCAGAATGTAATAGAAATCTTTACCTTGATTGTTGTCATGAGTCTGGTCTTGTTTTTAGTAAAATTTCTGTTTTTATGCCACCTGCAGATTCGTAATAGTTTCATGTTGCAAAGCAATTTCCCAACAGACCTTTGTATATCTAGCTTTTATCTATCTGACTTTGATTTCGTTCATCTTATTAATATTTCCAGAGCACCAGCAATGTGCCAAGTCTTGTTTTACTTTCTGCGAAGATAGCAGTGAATAAAAAGACAAAAATTACTTGCCCCTTATGGACCTTATGCTTTAGTGGGAGGGAGGCAGAGACAGCTAGTAGTCAAAATAAGTAAGTTAAGCACATGTTATGCTAGATAATGATAAGAACTACAGAAAAAAAATAGGCTTGGATAGAGAGTTCTATTTATCAATTGCTGTGTAATAAACTATCTCAAAATATAGTGGCATACAATAATAATCATTTTATTTTGCTCATGTAGTCGTTGCGTTGGGATTCAGGTGACAGCAGGGCTGGATTGTCTCTGCTTCAGAGTGTCTGGGAACTCGACTGGGAAGACATGAATGTCTGGGCCTGGAATAATCCAAAGGTTTCTTGATCACAAGGCTGACACCTGGGTTGGATGACTTGAAGGCTAGACTAAGCTGGGACTGCCAACAGAAGTGTTTATACCGAATATCCTCTCCATGTGGCTTAGGTTTCATCAGAACATGGCAGCCTCAGGACAGTCACACACTTTTTACTTGGTAGCTCAGGGCTCCAAGATCTAGTGTTCCAACAGTAAAGGCAGGAGCTGATGGCCTTTTATGGCCCATCCCCCAGAAGTCAAAATATCACTTCTACTGTACTTGATTGGGTGAAGCAGCCACATAGTCACAAGCCTCATACAGAATCAAGAGAAGGGGACTTAAACCCCATCTCTCCATGGGAGGCATGTCAAATATTTGCAGCCATGTCTTTAAAATGCCATGGAAGTATTTGGGGGAGTATTTAACCTTTACTGTTTTGGGTTGAAATTAAAGAGAAAAGATTCCAGGCTAAAAGTAAATGTGGATATAAATGGAATGAGGGGAAATTTCATGATGGGATCAAGACCGGGAGAACTCAGTCCAGGGAACAGAACCATCTTCATGATGAGGCTAGAGTAAGTAGAAATGACAGAGCATTTGGATTGGCAGATCTGGCTCACTCACTATCTTCATCTATTTACACTCTTAACTGAAGTCTTAAAACTACAATCTAGTTGATTGAATTGTTTATTCAGATGGTCATGTAATGTCCACAGAATGTTTCCTTTTTTTAGGCTTATATACAAGTAATGATAATATGAATTTTAAGCTACAATTAAAATGTCCCTTTTCCATACGCCCTGACCTTTCTGGAAGGCTACACATCAGTCTGTATGACTCAGCTCAGGTCAGACATCATCTCTGCATAGCCCTTCATGAATCTACCTCCAAGTAGAGTTAGGGCCTCCTTCCCCTGTGATTTTGTTCCCCCTTAGTGCTGTGTATATCTCTTACAGCATGCTAAGATTATGTGCTTTATTGTCTTTCTCATTAGACTGCTTGTTTTTCATGGCGACAACCAGGACTTATTCTTCTTTGTACCTCCAGTGCCTCTATAGTTACTGGTACTTTTAGACACTTAGTAAATTTTTATTGAATAAACAACACTCAACTAGAGTTGAATGGTGTACAGCTTTTTTATTCCCCAGATTCTCATAACCGATGGTCACTGAGCTCTAAAGTATGCCCAGGCTCTTGCCCTTCTCCTGAATGCCTTCCAAGACAGCAGATTTAGTACGTTCAGACACTGGTAGTTTTATATCTCTAGCTCAGACTTTTCCTCTAAGGTGCAGACTGTGACATCTTTATTTTAAAATCCCAAGGGGGCCTCAAACTCAATATTTCCAAAACTAAGTCCATGTCTTTCACACATCCCCAACCATCCTTCTTTCTAAATCAACAATAGCAGCTACAAACCACACACACCTGGCTCCCATCCAGTGTTTTCTGTCTCAGTAAGTGCCATTATCAGTCACCCTTGACTGCTCTGTCTGCTTCATTCCCCATATCCAGACATCACCAAGTAGGGCCATTATGCCTCTTCCTAAAGTATGTCCAAATCTCTCATCTCCACTGCATTACCTCAGACCAATAGTTCTCCTGAAGTGCAGAAGCCATCTCAAAAGGTCTTTCAGAAGTTCTCCCAGCATCATATCTAAACCACCTCGTATCTATTTTCCACACTGCAGCTAGGATGACGTTTTAAAAATAGCAAATCTGACCATTTTACCACCACTTCCCCCTGGAACCCAGCTAAACACGCTCTGATGGCCTTCCACTGCTCTGGGATGAAGACTCTTCTTAATGCAACATGGAAGCCATTGTGTGATCTGCTGCCTGCCTGTCTTCCTCTGCAGCCACCGGGGGAAGCATTGTTCTCTCACTCTCTCAGACTATAACTTTTTCTTGAGTTCTGTTATTTCCTGACACAGGACTTCTGCACAAGTTATATTCTCTCCTAGGAGTGCTTGTCCTACCTTCCTGTACCTTCTGTTATCAGCTCTACCATCTCTTCCTTAGAGAAGCCATAAGTCGAGGTCAGCCTTCTTTGTTATATGCTCTCAGACAAGATGTTTCTTTCTCTTAGCACTTATTTCAGTTCATAATTTCATGCTAATTTATGTGATGATGTCTGTATCTTTCACTAGACCAAAATTCTGTGAAGCTAGGGACTGAGTCTTTTTATGGTCACCACTGAGTTGCTGATGATAGGTGCTCAGCATGCGGTAGGCAGACATTCTACTGTTGGTTCATTCAATGTTTGAACTGCCATTGTTGATCCTTCTTGTGGTTATTGTTTATAAGGAACTATGCTAGAATAGATAGAAATTACCAGAAAGTGGTATAAAGAATTGCCAGTCAGCAGCCAATATTAAATTACATTACCTAATTCCAAATAAAGTATCTGTTATATAGTACAACTTTCTCAACTAATTTCAGGTCCCTTGTCTTTAATTTTTTCCAAGGTAAGCTATACTGGAGCACACATTATTGTAGGATTTGAAGATGGAGTTGTTCGACTTCTTGAACTTTATGATCCAAAAGGGCTCACAGTTTTTGCAGGACGGAAGAAAATTTTGGATGCTGATATTCAGTTGAAACGGGTTTTCAAACCCCATACTGCTTGTGTCACTGCTTTAGCTTATGAGCGTGATGGGGAAATTCTAGCCACAGGGGTAAGCAGTACATCTCCTTTCTTTTCTCGTTGAAATTTCATAGTTAACATTACCTTGTAACTCCTCCTACTTCATCATGACTTATTTACTGCAAACCATTTTCTTTTTTTTCTTTTTTTTTTTTTTGAGACGGAGTTTCACTCTTGTTACCCAGGCTGGAGTGCAATGGCGCGATCTCGGCTCACCGCAACCTCTGCCTCCTGGGTTCAGGCAATTCTCCTGCCGCAGCCTCCTGAGTAGCTGGGATTACAGGCACGCGCCACCATGCCCAGCTAATGTTTTGTATTTTTAGTAGAGACGGGGTTTCACCATGTTGACCAGGATGGTCTCGATCTCTTGACCTTGTGATCCACCCGCCTCGGCCTCCCAAAGTGCTGGGATTACAGGCTTGAGCCACCGCGCCCGGCCTACTGCAAACCATTTTCTATCAATATATTCGTATTTGCTTTCTTTGTCATCATGTTCTTTCAGTGTAGTCTGTGAATAACCCTTTTTTTAATCAGAAGAGAGCTGGAGCATGTGAATAACACTTAAAAATATTCTTACAAATTGAAATGCTTATTTTAAGTGAATAGAAAATTTCAACTGGGGATCATGCTAGATTGTATTATTTATAATCAGTTTCAGCATAGGTATGTACTTATATAGAATTGCCATAAATGAAGAGAATAACCATGTAGATTCTTTATGCACTAATAGGTGAGCATATACATGGTAGATTTTTGTGAATTTCTGAAAGTATGGTGATCAGATTTTCAGAACCACATACACACATGGTTTGCCAAATGTTTTAATGGGGGAAAATGGAGCAAGTATTTGAAATAAGAATTCTCCCTGAATGATCTGGGATATATGACCATTGTAGATAGAGATACCGTATGCTTTTTAAACGCTTTTTTGTGATCTATAGACTAGATTTCATAGTAATATATATTTGGTTGGTGTGTCTCTTTTTCCTTAGAGTAAAGATCAAACTGTTTTCTTCTTTGAAGTGGAAAATGAGTATAAGCCAATTGGTTATATTAATACTCCTGGACCCGTGTGTCAGTTAATGTGGTCTCCTCTCTCTCATGTAAGTCATTATTATTTGTCTTCCTGCTTAATTCTCAATTACCGTATAGTGAAGCTATCTTGTAGATAGAGAATAGCAGGTGGAATTTTTAGCCCGCTCCTGGTTCTTGCAGTGAGGGTCAGGGATGCAGCAACAGAAAGCTCAGGTGGTGCTGCTGGCATTGGCCCATAGAGGATCACTCAGGAGCCTGCCCTCTCCTCACTGCCTCCTTTCTCTTCCACGGTCTTATTAATTGACCACGATCCTCTCTGAAAATGCGGGGCTATGTCAGGCTTTGCTCCAACACTGGAGACTTTTGGCCACAGGCATGACATGTCAAAATGCTTTCACCTGGATCAGTCAGTCTCTCTGACAATCAGAAGCTGAATTCTAAGGCCTGAATGTACTTTCTCATCTTTACCTCTACTTCTCCTCTGCCCTCAATCCACATCTGTTTTCTCCTCTATCCTTTTATTGCTTCTTGCTTAGCAATTGGCAATTCAGTATTGATTCCTAATCTCTTTTAATGTCTCTAGTTTTACTAAATGTGAGCATGTGATAATTCAGTCATCTAAATATTGATTGACTGTGCCAGGTGCCAGGATAATAATACTGATGAATTGCATAGAAGTGCCATCAGCATTATTGGAGTAACATTTGTAATCCACTTTAAGCTTTTCTAAATAAAAGGTCTATAAAATAGTATTATCTAAAAAATGCTTTTTGAAATTAGTCAACAAATGCTTATTGTTTATATCTTTTCTAGGCACTGTGATGGATTAAATAACCAGTCTCTCAAGGAGAAAAAAAATATACATTTAAAAAGTTAAATATACCTTATCACTGAACAATAAGGTTTCACAAAGGAATTGGTGACTAAAATATCCATGATATAGACTAAGCTTGTCCAACCCATAGCCCATGGGCTGCATGCAGCCTAGGACAGCTTTGAATGAGGCACAACACAAATCCGTAAACTTTCTTAAAACATTATGAGATATTTTGCAATTTTTTTATAGCTCATCAGCTATTGTTAGTGTTAGTGTATTTATGTGTGGCCCAAGACAATTCTTCCTTTTCCAGTGTGACCCAGGGAAGCCAAAATATTGGACACCCCTCCTGTAGATGATGTGTGTTGTGAATTTGGAGGAGGGAACTATCAAGAAAGAAAGAAGTTAAAATAAGTTGTTATATTGTATTATCGTACCTTGATTTTGAGGAGTTGGTAGGGTACGAGCGGATGGATAAGAGGTGGGTACAGATGGTTCAGGTGAAGGGAATGATAGCTGCAAAGGAAGCTCTGTGAGAAAGCGTGAATGTTTATATCACAACATATAACATTGTGCGTCCTTCATTCACTTCACTACGTACAAATTAAAAAGATAAATCAACATTTGCCAGGGGTTAGGGGTGGTGAGTGGGAGGGGAGTGGGTGTGTGACATTAAAGAAGTAGCTTAAAGGAGACCTTTGTGGTGGTGATATAGTTTTGTGTCTTAACACAAATCTACACATATGAAAAAACGATGTAGAGCTGTACACACATTCTATACTAATGTCCGTGTCCTGGGTGGGTTTTGTATAGTTGCATAAGATGTAACCAGTGGTAGAAACTGAGTGAAAGGTTTGTGATACCTCTCTGTACTATCTTTTCAACTTCCCGTAAATCTATACATATTTCAAAATATGTTTGAAAAATTAAAAGTAATTATTACTTTATTGTGTTGCTATAAAGGAATACTTGAGGCTGGGTAATTTGGCTCATGGCTTTGCAGGCTGTACAAGAAGCATGGTGCCAGCATCTGCTTCTGGTTAGGGCCTGACAGGCTTCTAGTCATGGAAGAAGGTGAAAGGGAGCCAGTCTGTAGAGATCAGGTGCTGAGAAAGGAAGCAAGAGGGAGAGTGGGGAGACAGGGCATGGTGGCGCACACCTGTAGTCTCAGCACTTTGGGAGGCCAAGGCAAGTGGATCACTTGAGTGCAGGAGTTGAACCAAGCCTGGGCAACATAGTGAAACCCCATCTCTACAAAAAATACAAAAATCAGCAAGGTGTGGTGGTGCATGCCTCTAGTCCCAGCTACTCAGGAGGTTGAAGTAGGAGGATGGCTTCAGGCTGCAGTGTGCCCAGATCGTGCTACCGTTCTCCAGCCTGGGTGTCAGAGTGAGACCCTATCACAAACAAACAAACAAAAGAGTGAGTGGGGAGGTGCCAGCTCTCCTGGGAATGAATAGGGTAAGAACTCACCTCAGGGAAGGCATCAATCTATTTGGGATGCATCCACACGCAAGACCAAAACACCTCCCATTAGGCTCCCTGTCTAACATTAGAGATCAAATTTCACCATGAGATTTGCAGGGGATAAACATCCTGTAACAGTAGGCATACAAGACCAAAACACTTAGAATAATTTAAAAGTCATTTTGGGCAGTGCTGCTTGCTAGCACTTGTATTTCTAATATCATTTGCAAGTTACTAAAGTAAGAGTGAGTTACTGTATGTAACTGATCTGCTGCAGACTTAAATTGTCCAAATTGCAATAGGTCTTATCCCTTACCCAGCTGAAATATCAGATCTCATACCTGGGCATAAAGCGCTAAGCTTCTGCCTGATGGTTTTGGGTGGTTCCAGTAAGGGTGTGTCCCATGTACACACAGAACCATTCTGCCTGCCATGGTTACTACCATGTTCACTTTGGCAGCAGTGTGGAGAAGATACAAGGGAGCCAGGTCAGGGGCATGTGGATCTGTTAGGCAGCTGTGATGTGACCAGAGCATGAAAGACTGTGCAGACGAGATATTTAGAGAGTTGACAGAATTTGGTGAACTTTTATTTTTGTGAAGATAATTTTGAGGTGTCTAAATGGAGTTCATCACCGTTTCCCTAAGACATGTTCTTCCTCCCGTATTATTCTTGGCTCACCATTTTCCCTGTCACTAAAGCCAGAATCTTGAGAGTTATTCTGGTCTTTTTAAAATTATTATTTTTAGTTTTTTTAGGTACATAGTATATGTATATATGGGGTACATGAGACATTTTGATATAGGCATATAATGCTTAATAATCATATTACAGTAAATGGGATATCCATCACCTCAAGTATTTATCCTTTGTGTTACAATCCAATTATACTCTTTTAGTTATTTTAAAATGTGTAATAAATTATTGACTGTAGTCTCCCTGTTGTGCTATTAAATACTAGATCTTATTCATTCTGTCTATTTTTTTATTTTTTTGAGATGGAGTTTCCCTCTTGTTACCCAGGCTGGAGTGCAATGGCGCGATCTCGGCTCACCGCAACCTCCACCTCCTGGGTTCAGGCAATTCTCCTGCCTCAGCCTCCTGAGTAGCTGGGATTACAGGCATGCGCCACCATGCCCAGCTGATTTTTTGTATTTTTAATAGAGACGGGGTTTCACCATGTTGACCAGGATGGTCTCGATCCCTTGACCTTGTGATCCACCCGCCTCGGCCTCCCAAAGTGCTGGGATTACAGGCGTGAGCCACCGCGCCCGGCCATTCTGTCTATTTTTTTATATCTATATACCATCCCCACTTTGTGCCCTACTGCCACACCCACCACCCTTCTCAGCCCCTGGTAGCCATCATTCTAGTCTCTAACTCTATGAGTTCAGCTGTTTTAATTGTTGGCTCCCATAAATAAGTGAGACCATGTGATATCTGTCTTTTTGTGCCTGGCTTTTTTCACTTAACATAATGACTTCCAGCTCCATCCAGGTTGTTGCAAATCACAGGATCTCATTCTTTTTTTATGGCTGAAGAGTACACATTGTGTATATGTACCACATTTTCTTTATCCATTCGCCTGTTGAAAGACACTTAGGTTGCTTTCAAATCTTGGCTATTGTGAATAGTGCCGCAATAAACATGGGGGTACAGATGATCTCTTCAGTATGCTGAATTCTTTTCTTTCGTGTATATACCCAGCAGTGTGATTGCTAGGTCATGTATTAGCTCCATGTTTAGTTTTTTTGAGGAACCCCAAATTGCTCTCCATATTGGTTGTACTAGTATACATTCCTACCAGCAGTGTACTTTACTCCACATCATTGCCAGCATTTGTCATTGCCTGTCTTTTTGAAAAAAAGCAATTTTAACAGGGATGAGATGATATCTCATTGTAGTTTTTATTTGCATTGCTCTGATAATTAATGATGCTGAGCACTTTTTCATATACCTGTTTGCTATTTGTATGTTTTCTTTTGAGAAATGTCTCTTCAGATCTTTTGCCAATTTTAAAATTGGATTAGTAGGTTTTTTCCCCCATAGAGCTGTTCAAGCTCCTTATATATTCTGGTTATTAATTCATTATCAGATGGATAATTTGCAAATATTTTCTCTCATTCTGTGGGATGTCTCTTCACTTTGTTGATGGCTTCCTTTGCTGTGCAGAAGGTTTTTAACTCGATGTGATTCCATTTGCCCATTTTCACTTTGGTTGCCTGTGCTTGTGGGTGTTACTCAAGAAATCTTTGCCCAGTCCAATGTCCTGGAGAGTTTCCCCAATGTTTTCTTTTAATTGTTTCATAGTTTTGAGGTCTTAAGTTTAAGGCTATAGTCCGTTTTGATTTGATTTTTGTATATGGCAAGAGATAGAGGTCTAGTTTCATTATTCTGTATATAGATATCCAGTTTTTCCAGAACCGTTTATTGAAGAAACTGTCCTTTGTGCAATGTATGTTCTTGGCTTCTTTGTCAAAGATGAGTTCACTGTAGATGTATGGATTTGTTTCCAGGTTCTATACTCTGTTCCATTGGCCTGTGTTTCTGTTTTTATGCTGTTTTTGTTACTATATCTCTGTAGTATAATTTGAAGTCAGGTAATGTGATTCATTCAGTTTTGTTCTTTTTGCTCAGCATAGCTTTGTCTATTCTGAGTCTTTTATGGTTCTGTATAAATTTTAGGATTCTTTTTTCTATGAGTATGAAGAATGTGATTGCTATTTGTATAGGGATTGCATTCAATTTGTAGATTGCTTTGGATAGTACGGATATCCTAACAAT